ACAGACAGACGGACAGACAGACTCAGAGGAAACCTATAGTCCCCTCCGGTTTCACCGGTAGGAGGCTAAAAAACACTTTTCATGTCTATGTTTGAAACATATTGTATATTAAAATAATGACGAGCAAAACACGTAATCTTCACATATTTCTAACAAGCATTCTGAGAGTATTGCTTTAGCAATACTAGTCCCCTACCAGCAAGTGTAATCTGGTTCCCGTTAAGAATTGAAAATGTCATAATTCCGTCAAAAATCAATGAAGCGGAACGAAGTTTGCATTTCGTTCCGCTTCATTGATTTTTGACGGAATAACGGCCTTTTCAATTTTTAAGGGTTTTCCGCAATTTTCTTCTAAACGCTTTCAGATATTGAGCTGATTTTTGGTATATGACTTTACTTTGATTAGTTATAGATCAGATTTGCATTACAGCCCGCTTCATTGATTTTTGACGGAATTATGGGAACCAGATTACACTTGCCTGTAGGGGACTAGTATTGCTAATGCAATACTCTCAGAATGCTTGTTTACCTACATATTGTCTTCTTTATAGAAAAACTACATGATATTTGAACCTCCTGGGTTTTTAATTTTTCTTGCAAGTGTAAGTTCGTTCTTCGAAACACTTTTTCTCGCACGACCCCTAACTAGGACGTCGGAATGGGATTTTTTAAATCCGACATTCCAGAACCATTAAGAGCTGTTTGGGACCGTTGAAAGGTACATGTAAAAAAAATATGAAGAATAGGAGTAAAATATATAGTTAATTATTGGATACCATTCTTAAAGCGGGGGAAAACATAAAATACATGAAATATTTACCCGAAGCGGCGGCGTAAATAGAAGGTTTGAACAACGCTTTGATCTGTAGCTCTCTGGTTTATCTCTCCGAATTTTCTCAACCAGAGAGCTACAGTTCTATAGTCATTTTTGTCACTCACACAGCTAGGTATAAACAATTTACTGATTGCAATGCACTTGTCGACATAACGTCATCATATGGTAATTTTTCATAATGAAAAATGTATTTATTATTAAACAGAATATTATTTAAAGATGTGAGGTAGACTTTTAATACCAATGCGAAACCTTTGTTTAGTGCCATTATTCCTAAAATCGAGAACATTATTAAAGAAATACATAAAATCACTGAAAGTGGGGGGTATTAATTCGAGTCTGTCTGTCCGCGTCCGTCTGTATTTCTGTCTGTGTGTAACACTTTCGTTTGCGGGCGACATCTCAAGAAGCCTTTGAGCTTTTGCAATGAAATTTTATATCACAACTCCCTATGTTTAGAAAAAAAAACACGTATAGATTTTGAGGTCTAAAGGTTAAGATCAATTAATACAATCTGTCTATGTGCAACACTTTCGTTTCCGGATGATATTTCAATAAGCCTTTGAGCTTAAGCAACAAAATTTTATACCACACCTCCCTATGGCCTGAATTCAAAAAAATTCTGTTTTTGTGTAGCAATTTCGTTTCTAGATGAAATCTCAAGAAGCTTTTGAGCTTTTGCAATGAAATTTTATATCACAATTCCCTATGTCCTATACAATACCCCTTTTAATTTAAAGATCAAATGTGTTAAATTCATTCATTCAGTTTGTCTGTAACACTTTCGTTTCCGGGCAATATCTTTAATCGTCTTTGACCTTTTGCAATGACATTTTATATCACATCTCCTTGTGTCCTGAAATTCTCGAGAGGGACTCCCGTTAAACAACAAAGTAACATCTTTCTCCTGCTTTAGTGCTTCAAAGGAACGTTTAAGCATGGAGTGGTTCAAACTGCTGTTATATATTATAGAACAGATAAATTCCTTGCAGTAATACTCTAACTACTTTATCATACAAGGCATGCTTTTTTGCTGCATCTTTCAAACTACATTTAAGTTCGAGTCTGTGTCCCATGCAATGGATGGTTGAATTTTCTTTAAAAGTGCAACTACGCCATCCTTACAGCCAACCATTACACTAGCGCCATCACGTAACAAAGAAACGACTTTACTTAAAAAGCAGTCAGATGATAGAGTTAATTTTTTTCAACCAAACTCTTCAATCCATTTAGAATTCCACTAGCATCTGCTTTTTCTGTCTCTTGTACACCTAAAAAATACATCTGTGTTTTACCATGTCTACATGTTCTTGCAAACCACATTTCTTGTTCCTTCACAGATGAATCTGTGGAACTGTCACCCATGATACACAAATAATTAGTATTAGGTCCAAAAGTGAAAGGTCAATGTTGACCTTTTTCTTTCACCATCTGCAATTTTTTTTTCCAGTTCTTCAACCTTAAGCGGGGGACACAAAATATATGAATTAGCGTGTTTGAATTGAGCTCAGTTACGATAATTTACACTAGGAAAGTGCAAATTCTATTTAAAGCAGCAGCACTTTCCAGAAACTTATTTGAACAAGGGTATACCTTTGCGGTACTAAAATTTCTTTATGACCTCCATGCAATACACATAATATGCAATTATCACGTGAATCCTACTTTGGGACGTGGAGACAGGTCCTTCGGATGAGACCGTATAAACAGAGGTCCCGTGTAGCAGTAGGTGCTGGCATGAAAAAGATCCCTCACTCCCCAATGACCCTGAGTGCCGAGTATAGGTCAAAATTTGCAGCCCTCCACCTGCAAGTGGTGGGGTCTCCATATGAGTGAAAAATTCTCGAGCGGGACGTTAAACAACAAACAAACAAAAACTGATCTGTAATCGATGTATATATATATCGGGATACTTTTTTAAAAATGTTTTATTGACTTGGTTATAATACCGGTACCTCATACTACCGGTCTTGTAGAGTAGGCTTTCCCCTTTAAAATCTTTTCCCCCGGCAAACGGCTCTAGAGAAGGATTCCCCCAAGGAAAAATGACAAGATTAGCATTACCCTTACGGAAATTCAACACCAGATTCAACTTTCCGGGGGGGGGGGGGTCCTACACTGTGCAGTAGTTATAGAGTGCAATTTCCCTCTGTCGCCCACGTGGCGCAGTGGTAGAGCGTCCGCTCTAGAGTCGCGGAGTAAGGGGTTGATCCTTACGTCGCGGGTTCGAATCCCACTGTGGGACGTGGAGACCGGTCCTTCGGATGAGACCGTATAAACCGAGGTCCCGTGTCGCAGTAGAAGCTGGCACGAAAAAGATCCCTCACTGCTCAATGGCCCTGAGTGCCGAGTATAGATCAAAATTTGCAGCTCTCCACCGGCAAGTGGTGGCGTCTCCATGTGAGTGAATAATTCTCGAGAGGGACGTTAAACAATACACAAACAAACAAACAATTTCCCCCGAGCAAATTTTCCCCCATAAAATATCATGACTGTACTTAACCGTGTATGAGGGGGGAAGGGGCGACATATAATTGTAACAAGGTCCCTTCTTCAAAATGGCGACCAGTTCCATTAAAACATACTAAGTATGAAAAATGAAAATTTTAATTATCATTTTTCACCATCTTCACTAGCCAAGGGTTTCTGATCCGCTACTCTGCTCATAATCCCTTGGCATATGGTGCTGTAAAAAGACGGGAATGTTTACGTAACGTGATCTCGAATCTTACCACATACGCACATATTGCGTCATCGATAGAAATAAAAAGCAAATTTAAACATTAGTTTTTTAGAGAATAATTAACAGGAAGGTATCGAGCGATGTTTACTTGTTATTTAGGGTGCAAATCTACATCTGTAATATAGATTCCATATTGCATTATCTGCATTTCAACTTAAGATTGGGTGACACCATACCTATTTATAAGAAGGCATGTTATCTTAATTACGGATCGTTTTTAGTTCGTGTTTTTTATTCCCAAGACTAAAGAGTCAAGATATATCCCGAACATTTACAAAAAACAATTGCTGATTGGTCAATCTATATCAATCAACTCCAATCACAACTCGAGAAAAAAATTCCAACTTTTGACAGCACCGTAGGCCAAGGGATTATGAGGAGAGTAGCGGAACAGAAAGCCTTGGCTAGCGAAGATGCGAATTTTTAAGCGACTTATTTTTCAATTTCCAATTTCCCATTTTTTCTTTACAAATTTGACAGATCTTGAGTTGAAAACACTCATATTTCAATTAAAACATTAGTTGACTCCCATATAATCTTTTTGCGACAGTATTGTCGATATGATTTAAGCATTGATGAAAGAGGGGAAATCCTACTCTGAGAAAGAAAGAGGGGGTAATTTGGCTTTAGTGTGCGATCCTCTCTAGAGTACAGATTCCGGGGGGGGGGGGGGGAACTGGCTATGGAGGAATCCCTACTCTACAACAGCGGTACACCATCTTCACAATCATGGTCACAAAAGTCGCTATTTAAAAGTTGGGCTGGAAATCTACTATTTCATTTGTTCCCATCAGAAAATAGCTTTTATAGTAGGTAAGTTTTGTAAAAACAAATATGACGTCAGACTCTTTAGAATGAAAAGTGCCAATATTGAGGAGCACAGCCATACATTTTCAGTTGAGGGGGCACTATCAACTACCAAAAATTTCTTGACAAGCAAAAAAAGAAAAAAAAGGTCATCAGACGTTTTTATTGAGGGGGCACAATCATATAGTAGCTATGTTTTCTATAGAAATCTATATATCGGCAAAATTATTGCCCCCCCCCCTCCGGTTCCTACGGCCATGTGGGAGTAGTTACATGTACCAGTTACCTCAAATAAATTATCGGAGACTAATTTTTGGAAAATCCTTCTCCTTACAATCACCAAAGATGTGCTATGGCTTTGAACCACTAGATAACGAAGGATTTTGAGATATTCTCATTGGTTGGTTTATAATTAACCATTACATCTTGGGGAACCACAAGTCCAACTTATATAAATTTGACGTTTGTCAAGGGTTTGTGAAGAGGAACGATATCACAAAACCTTGACATTCTGAAGATGCTGGTACATTAGTTAGGTCAAACGGAAAAAATTCATATAGTTTTTCAAACAATCATTATATTATAATGCGTTTTACTTTTTTCCCAATGTTCAAGACTACCAGATAACAAATTAATTGGAGGTGTCTCTGTTTGGAGAAGAAAAGAATTCGAAATAGTTAATGGCTGGTCAAATTTGTTCACTAACTGGGGAGGAGAAGATGACGACATGAGTTACAGGTTCTTTAAAATTTTCATTTATTTCTGTGATCATTTATGAAAATATCATATTTATTATATATAACATTTTATCAATAATTAGGAATTTTAGCATCTGATATATTTTTACATGCGTCAGAACGAACTGCCAACAGTTACTGTATTCTTTGTATTAAGGGTAGTGGTGAATTTTTAAAAAAAGATGATTGTGGATTACAATTTTAATTCATTCATATATAAAGTTTACATTTTGTTGTTTATCAGTAAAACATGAAATTCCATACTAAAGGTGAAAACTTCCTCATGTAGTCATAATTTTTAATGTTCATTTTTGTCAACAAGATCGATCTTATGTTTGATAACTTATTGCTCAATACTGTGGAATCATCTTAATTCGTAGGGGTCAAGGTTCCTGGGCAAGCAAAATTTTACGTATTCATGGGGACGTAATTTCGTGTGTTAATCGTTTATACGGTAGATTCATAAATCAATATGTTTACAAAATAAACGTTCGTGGGGATGTTAATTCGTATGTAAGGATGACCCATGAAATCCACGAACACTGGCCCCCCCTCGAACAATAACGATTCCACAGTAGCTGTCAAAATGGTATTACTAGACTTTTTTCCCCACAGAATCATGGCCAATGGACTTTCAATTTATCGTTTCAAGAATTCTGTGGCAAGATACAAAATGCTCTCACATAAACAAGAAACTGTTAACACTAAAAGGTTTGAGATTTTTTTTGTTTCGTTATTGTTTAAATACATATTTTAGGGCCCCTCTCTGCGGGTGCTCCATAGTGGTCTGTCTGTCTGTCCGTCCGATTTCATTTGTCCGTAGCATATTTTCTCTCACCTTGGCTTAGTCAGGCTCAAACTTCATCGAAGGATAGACCGTGGGTAGAGGATAGGCAGAGACCTTGAACCGATTTTGTAGATCAAAGGTCAAGATCGGAAAACTTCTCTACATAAAATCCTTATCTGGAGCAAATTTTCTTTCCCCTTGGCCCGATTGGGCTCAACCTTCATCCAGATAGTGCCCATGGCTAGAGTGTGCTGTGACCTTGAACCAATTTCTAGATCAAATGTCAAGGTCGAAAAAACATCTCTGTAAAATCCTTGTCCGGATCATATTTTCTCTCCCATCTTGGCACAGTCACGCACCATAAAGTGGCTATAGGTCGTGAAGTGACTTTGAACCAGTTTTATATATCAAACGCCAAGGTCAAAAAATCTCTTTGCATTAAAAATATCATTGTCAAGAGCATATATTCTCTCGCTTTGGCTCGGTCAAGCTCATATTCACCCATGGAGTGCCCATGGATAGATGGTGTGCAAGTGACCTCGAACAAATTTCTTGATCAAAGGTCAGTGTAAAAAAAATCCTTGTCCGGAGCATGTTTTTGCTCCCCCTTGCCTAATCGGTCTTAAACTGCACCAGAAGACTGCCCGCGTGTAGGGGGTGTGCAGTGTCCTTGAACCAGTTTTCTTGATCAAAAATCAAGGTCGAAATTCTTGTGAGGAAAATCCTTGAGCAGAGTACATTTTCTCTCTCCCTAACCATACCTGGCTCAAACTAAACTAGTAGTATGCCTTTTGAAAGAGGGTGTGCAGTGTCCTTGAGCCAAGTTTCTAGGTAAGTGGTCATGGCCTTAGCTAAAATTTGTTAAATTCTTTTTTTGAGCTATTATTTAACCGGGTTTTTTGGTAAGAAAATACGGTTATTGAAATGGAGAAATTGGCGGTTGTTCGGGCGTGCGAGTGGCTATTAAAAGGGTACATCATTTCTTCGGATAACTCTTCCTACCCAGGACCTTTTTTTATTTTGCAGATCAATTGTACATAATCTTTGTACATGTATCAGAGATTTGTATACGAGGGCGGTTTGGAAATTATTGAGACATTTACTTTTACTCCTTAAAGGAAAGATTCTGAGATAAATTCATAAATGTTGTGAACATTTTATTAAGAACAAACAAGACAAATGTACCAAAAATTCTAATTAATAGGATAATTGGATAAGTCCCGGAGAAAATATAAATAGACATGTCTATTGAACCGGAGCAGCATCGCTACGTCATTTTAACATCACGCCAATCGTAGATGTTTTCTCATGTTGAAACGATTGGGAAGCTTCAACTCTTCTTTCTCTATTTTATATATATATATATATATATATATATATATATATATATATATATATATATATATATATATATATAAAACACAAAATTTTAGGTATGCTCGTTGCGCCGCCTAGACGTCAAAATCCATTTTGTTGTCGTGATCAGATTTCAATACCGTGCCTTTTTTTTTTATGATCTCCGTATTCCTGCTCGAAATTCTTAAAAACCTGCATAAAATGAAGTCAAAATAAAACTGAAAAATTATATACATAATCTGAATTATTTTCGCGCTGTATGTGGATTCACCGGGAGTTTGAATGTAGGTGTTACGTTATTTTCAATATCTGATTTCGTGACTGCGCCGGGAACCCCTACATGTATACTGACACATTAATATACCAATAAAAAGAAGAAATAAAATATTTTAAAATATTTCTTGCTTTTATTAATTCTTAATGTTTGTCAAATTATATGTCAAGTCGCAATAATTTCCGGACAACCCTGGCAGTGCTTGGATTTTGATTTTTGATAATTTACGAGAAAAATACCAGCTCTTGGACTTAGTCTTTTTTTTTCTTTTTTTTTTCAAAATATGACATGTAGGGTACCCCATTTGTCCGGATAACCCCTCCTATATTTTTTCAGGATAGAAGTTCTTATTTTGCAGATATATTGTACATATATCAGAAATGTGCATAATACTTGTTGGAGTTTGATTTTTGTTAATTTATGAGAAAAATACCAGATTTGTGCATGTAGGGTACCCCATTTGTCCGGATAACTCCTCCTAAAGTTTACAAGATAAGGTCGTTCTTATTTTGCAAATCAAATGAATATATATCAAATGAACATATATTAGAAATATTCATAGTGCTTTGATTTTGGCAATTAAATTAAAGTTTATGAGAAAAATACCAGATGTTGAACTTATTCATATTTTTGAAAAATACAAGAATGTATTCCATTTAGGGTATTCCGTTTGTCGGGAAACTTGTACATTTTTTATTTTGCAGATCAATTGTACATATATCAAAGATGTGCATAGTACTTGGATTTTGATTTTTATATTTTTAATAAACTACAAATTGTTGAACTCATGTTGTCATTTTAATGCAAAATATGTTCAAAGAGTACACTGACATGTTGGGATGTTACTTCCTACAGTTTTCAGATATTTATGTGAGAAAAGCAGTCCTGTTCACACAAAAGAAAACCCGGTCTGCTGTCACATTGGCAGCTTCCCCCTTGTCTTCTTTTGGCCTCATCTGGCTTAAACTTCACCCAAAGTGTGCTGTTTGATGAAGGGTCTTTCTCCTCAAGTATTTTGATTAAAACGGGGCCCTTTGAGATAGTCACTATCTCAACGATGTCTAGTTTTTTAATTTTAGTTTTGCATTTATTTTTTCTTATTCAATTTTGTTTGACAATTTTTTTTCTTTATACTGCAATGCCGGCTACATCCTCGCAAGCCAGGGGTCCTGAGTCAACACGTTGCCGTTGGACCCCTGGCATATTTCATTCAATATTCGTGGGCTGACTTTAGCGACGTCTTTCGGAAAAATTACAACTCTTGATTGGTTTTCTTATCTCTCAACCAATCACATTAAGCCATTCTATGATAAACAACTTGTAACACGTGCATTTGAGGTGTCAACAGAATCCTTATCTAACTATTTATGAAAGCTTTGATTTGAATGAGAGAAGCAAGCCCACGAATATTAAATGAAATATGCCAGGGGTCCAACGGCAACGTGTTGACTCAGGACCTCTGGCTTGCGAGGATGGTATTATATGTATGAAAACCATGATGTCTGTCAGATCTGCAAATAAAGATCTTATCTGTTGTAGGTATACCCTTCTTGAAGACAGTCATCTCCGTTACAAAAAAGATGGGTTGTCATCGTTGAGCTACACAGATCTTAATACAACCGAATATAGCTTATTTACGAAAGTGTCTGTTATTTTTTGAAAAAGTTAAGGAATACCATTCTTATATTAGATAATTAGTTTTATGGATAGCTTCTGACTTCTTAAGTTCTTTTCCGATTTTTATACCCCCGCTCCGAAGGAGAGGGGAGTATACTGTTTTACCCTTGTGTGTCTGTCTGTGTGTGTGTCTGTCTGTCCGTAACAAATTTTGGTCGCAGTTTTCTCAGCAACTACTCATTGCAGCTGCTTGAAATTTTAGCACAATCTTTGTTTAGGCATGCCATATGGTGGGATTCATTTTTGTACGAATTCGATGTCAACTTCCTGTTTATCCGTGCGTCTGTCCGTACCATACATAACAAATTTTGGTCGTAGTTTTCTCAGCAACTACTCATCGCAGATGCTTGAAATTTTAACACAATCTTTGTTGATGCATGCCATATGGTGGGATTAATTTTTATACTAATCCAATGTCAACTTCTTGTTTATCCGTGCGTCTGTCCGTACCATACATAACAAACTTTGGTCGCAGTTTTCTCAGCAACTACTCATCGCAGATGCTTGAAATTTTTAACACACTCTTTGTTTGGGCATGTCATTTGGTGGGATTTATTTTTGTACGAATTCGATGTCAACTTCCTGTTTATCCGTGTATCTGTCCGTACCTTGCATAACAAATTTTGGTCGTAGTTTTCTCAGCAACTACTCATCGCAGATGCTTGATATTTTAGCACAATCTTTGTTTTGGCATGCCATATAGTGGGTTTAATTTTTGTACTAATCCAATGTCAACTTCCTGTTTATCTGTGCGTCTGTCCGTACCATACATAACAAACTTTGGCCGCAGTTTTCTCAGCAACTACTTATCGCAGATGCTTGAAATTTTAGCACAATATTTGATTAGGCATGCCATATAATGGGATGCATTTTTTACAAATCCGATGTCAATTTCTTGATTATCACTGTGTTTGTCCGTAACTGAACTTTGTGTATTCACATCAGAGCGGGGGTATTATTAGTAAGCATAGGCTCACAGACTTCTTGTAAAATCAAAATTTCAAAACGATATCTAAAGTATGTTTTTATCATTCTTTCCCCCAAGCACGCATTCCTAATCAGCTTATATTTACTACAGTATATGTGTCAGTGTGTATATTAATTTTTTGACAAACTTAATACATTATTGAAAATTTAATTGAAAAACTGTCCGTGGTTCTAATGAGAATCAACAATGGAAAATGTAAACCATCAAAAACCTAATCAACAGGCAAAATGATAGGCTCGTACTATATGCTTCTGTGGTAAATTTTAAACCAAAACATTTAGTTGTGGCCACAGTTAAGAACAATTTCCATACTTACATGTACCATATGTTAAAAAAAAAAAACCAAAACAAAACAAAATCCGCTGCAACGTATCTCTATGGAAAGTCTAAACTGCCTTATATGTATAACACTCATGCTGTGCTGATTTTTCATCATTATGTGCTTATCCTTTGACATATGCTAATACTTTAACATTATATGCTAATACTGTAACATTATATGCTACTTTGAAATTAGAGGCTTTGACATTATATGCGGATACTTTGAGATTGTATGCTGATACTTATACATTATATGCAGATACTCATACTTTAACATTGCACGCTGATACTGTCAGTTTAACATTATATGCTAATATTTTGACATTGTATGCTGATACTTTTAAAATGGAATGATGATAGTTTACCATTATGTGATGATACTTTAACATTAAATGATGATACTTCATTATATGGTGCTTTAGAAATACAGTAGTTGGCCACAAGTACATGTATGTTCCCAAAATGGCCGACGTTCTTCAATCACATTGAAAATTCTGTGATGAAAAATCTTTATAGCAACATCACATTCGTTTTTTCTCTCAACTAAGCGTCCGGAAATAAAGTTTACGCAGTGGTAGAGGTTTTAAAATAAGCGTCCTTAATTAATTTCCGGTTAATTGTTTACATATCGTCTGCTTGGAGATATGGGTCAGCGAGAAAGGAATTGACACAAGATGTTAAAAACATCATCATTAGTTTATCAAACACCGGTCATCCTAGTTTTAAATCTCAGAAATTACAGGCTTGAATCGATCGGAGAAGAGTTTCATGAGCGGGGGAATACAGAAAACTTACCGCGAAGCGGCAGGCAGAGAAAACTCGACGACAAGGCGAAACGACGACTCGTTCGCATGGTTCGGGGCAATCGTCGGCAAACATTAGAGGGTCTCACAAGTAAATTTAACAATTCAGCAGTTGTTAACATATCCTCTGAGAAGATTATTTGAAAGTGAATACAAACGACATGTTTCCAAAGGTGAATCGCTCTCGACGCGTGGGTTTTTGTAGACAAAAGTTACACTGGAATGTGCAGAATAATTGGTGTAGAGTGATTTTAGTGACGAGACAAAAGTTCTCATAGGTGAGCATAAGAAAAACTATGTTTGGAGGAAATCTGATGAACGTTTGATGGGGGAATGTACGGGAATCCGTTTGGACAGGGAGAGACAGGGAGTGATATCTGCGATGTTCTTGGGTTGTATAACATACAATGGTGTGGGGACCCTTACATCTATTGAAGGAAATATGAACTCTAATGTTTATATTGAAACCCTGAACAACAATTTGTGGCCTGATGTTGCTAAAAACTTCGGAAATTGTGCCTGGATTTTTCAGAAGGATAATGCCCCTTGCCAAGTTTCTAGGGTGTGTAACGATTGGAAAACACATAACAATATTCCAGTACTACCGTGGCCTGCACAGAGTGTAATGATTATAAGTAAGAACCATAACTCTGTATTGTATGTTGTTTTGGATTATCACCTTTGATTAAGAGTCTAAAGGCAGTGATGCGTTGTCCATGTAATGGGTCATAAAATCCTTAGTTAATCTTTAGTAATCCAGTGAGCAAGATTACTACATTGGCGCCGAGGATTGAGAACAGATTCTACGAATTAGAATGGCTCAGCTGGTTACGACTGATTTAGGAGGAATTCCTACATTTGATTGTGATGGAGAACCGACCACGGTAGGGGTGAGATGGCAAAAATGGCGCAGAGTCTTTGAGTTATTTGTAGCCGGTAAAGGGATAGAAAATGCGGCACAAAAGAGAGCTTTGTTATTACATTGCGGAAGTATGAAGATGCAAGATATTTATTTCACATTTCCCGCGGCTCGCGAACCGGAGGGAGATGAGACGGTGTACGACATAGCTATGGAACAACTTGTTAACTACTTCCGCCCTAGAGTAAACACACCATTCGAAAGGCATGGATTTCGTTTGATGGCACAGGAATCGACAGAGAGTGTAGATCAGTTTGTGACCCGATTAAAACAGAAAGCGGGACATTGTAATTTTAATAATGCTGACGAACATATTCGGGATCAAAAATCGAAAAATGTAAATCGTCGCACTTACGTAGAAAATTACTGGAGAGAGAGGGGGTGACTTGACACTCGAGCAGACGTTCACTATAGGGAGGGCTTTTGAACAAAGTCAACAACAAGCGAGCGGAATTGAAGGAGGAAGGAATTCAGAAACTTTCGTGAATAAAGTAAGCACTCAGAAGCACAAACAATACGCAAGTATAATTTGTTATAGATGTGGCAAACAGGGTCATATCAAGTCTGATCCAACATGTCCAGCCCTGGGTCAAGAATGTCGTAAGTGTCACCAGCCAGATCACTTTGCTAGGTGTTGTAATTCTTTCACACCAAAGACTCGCAAATATCCAGGACGAGGCAAACCCAAGCAACGCGTTAGACTGGTGGACACAACAGAGCCAGAGGATTCGGAAGAAGCTTATGCATTTACACTATCTGTGGACAACTCACAAAAAACTTTTGAAACACTTATCGTTGGTGGACCAAATCACCAAACAGTTACCACGAATATTGGGGGAGTACAGGATATTTCGATGATTGTTGACTCTGGTGCTAGGTGGTATGTCATTGATCGAGACCTATGGGAGGAGCTAAAGAGGAGGAAGGTCAGATGTACTTCACAGAGATCAGGTAAGAAAATTTATCCGTACGGAAGTTCCAAACCTTTGGACATTGTAGGATGTTTTATCGCAGATATTGCAGTGGGAAATTCCTCAGAGAAAGCAGAATTCATTGTGATCCAAGGTAAAGGACAGGCCCTGTTAAGACATAAAACAGCAACAGAACTTGGAATTCTGAGTGTGGCACATGCAAATTTCCTGTCGGAAGCCAACAAATTTAACCAGTATGAGAATTACTTTAATGGTGTGGGAAAGTTGAAGAACTTTAAGTTGATGTTACATATAGATGAGAACATTACACCTGTGGCACAAGTCAGGAGGATTCCATTCGCTATGAGGGAGAAGGCTGAAGCAAAACTTAAAAAGAGTTACAGGATATGGATATCATTGAGCCAGTCGAGGGACCATCATCTTGGGTCAGCCCAATTGTTGTTACGCCGAAGCCGTCAGGAGATATTCGTCTATGCGTGGATATGAGGCAAGCTAATGAGGCCATAATTAGAGTGAGACATCCAATACCTACCATTGATGAAACTTTGCACGACCTAAATGGAAGTTGTATTTTCAGCAAGCTGGACCTGAAGTGGGGTTTTCATCAATTAGAGCTAGCTGAAGAATCTCGTGACATCACCACTTTTGTTACTCACGATGGACTGTTTTGGTACAAAAGACTTAGTTTTGGTGTCACTTCTGCACCTGAAATTTATCAGCACACCATCCAGCAGGCACTCCAAGGATGTGACGGAGTGAGAAACATGTCGGACGACATCATTGTACATGCCAAAACAGTGAAAGAGCATGACCGCAGATTATTAGCTGTGATTGAGAAACTAGGCAGCAAGGGATTGATATTTAACAAGGAAAAATGTCAACTTCGTCTCCGAAAACTAGAATTTTTGGGACACATCTTATCGGACAAAGGAATCGACCCAACCAGAGAGAAGGTGAAAGCTACAGTAGAAGCTAGACCGCCAACAAACGCATCAGAAGTCAGAAGTTTCCTTGGACTGGTTACATATTGTGGAAAGTTCATTCCTAATCTAGCAACACTGTCAGAACCGTTGAGAATTTTGACAAGGAAAAATCAACCATTTACTTGGGGCCCTGAACAAGACCAAGCATTCAGAAAGCTGAAGACAAGTTTATCAAAAGCCGAGACATTAGGATATTTTGATCCAAAAGTAAGAACTCAAGTGATAGCTGACGCCAGTCCAGTGGGGCTTGGTGCAGTGCTAGTACAGATACAACAGGGAGAGCGCTGTATTATTTGCTTTGCAAAGTAAAAGTTTGACAGATGTCGAGAGAAGATACTCACAGACTGAAAAAGAGGCATTAGCACTAGTATGGGCATGAGAACGCTTTTATATGATTGATTGATTGTATGTTGTTTAACGTCTCATTCGAGAATATTTCACTCATATAGAGACGTCACCATATACCGGTGAAGGGCTTCAAATTTTGACCTTTACTCGGCACTCAGGGCCATTGAGCAGTGAGGGATCTTTATCGTGCCAACGCCTGCCGTGACACGGGGCCTCGGTTTTTAAGGTCTCATCCGAAGGACCCCGCTTTTATATGTATTTGTATGGATGCAGATTTGATTTGCTGACAGACCATAAGCCTCTACAGTTCATCTACAGCAAGAAGTCAAATCCATGTGCCCGCATCCAACGATGGGTATTGAGACTTCAACCCTTCCAGTTCACAGTAAAGTACATTCCTGGACACAAGAATGTTGCTGATGTACTATCTCGACTGTGGATCTATAAATCCGATACACCTTCACCAAGTCAAATGTCTGAGGATTTCGTAAGATTCGTTGCTCTGCAAGCAGTACCCAGAACGTTGACGATTCAGGATGTGGAGAAAGAGTCCGCTGGAGATCTTGAGTTACACGGAGTTAATGAAGCTTTACAAACCGGAAATTGGACAGATTGTGAGGAAAGTTAAATAGCTGTCAAAAATGAACTGTGCAGTATAGGAAAAGTAATCCTCAGAGGTACACGTATTGTGATTCCAACCAGTTTGAGAAAGTTTTAACCGCTGCTCATGAGGGACACCAAGGGATCACTAAAACAAAACAGCGACTGAGAGAGAAAGTGTGGTGGCCAAAGATTGATAGTGATGCCGAACGTGTTTGCAAGAAATGCTATGCATGTCAAGTAGTTGGAGGTCCGTCATCACCTGAACCTTTACGCCGTAAAGTGCTTCCAGATTATCCATGGCAAGCTACAGCAATCGATCTAATGGGATCTTTTCCAACAGGAGAATCAGTATTGGTGTATGTGGACTATTACGGCCGTTTCTTTGAAACTTATATTTTGAAGAACACAGGATCAACCAAAATCATTGAATGTTTGGAGGAAACTTTCGCTCGTTATGGTATTCCTGACAGTCTGAGAAGTGACAACGGAACACAATTTCGGTCTACAGAATTTGAGAAGTTTCTAGAGGAATACGGCATCACCCATAAAACATCTACACCTTATTGGCCGCAAGCTAATGGCGAAGTGGAGCGACAGAACACGACCTTATTAAAAGCTATCAGAACAGCTCATGTTGAAGGGAAGGATTGGAGAAAGGAGTTGCTAAAATTCCTATCAGCTTACAGAAGCACACCGCATACAGTAACTGGAGTTGCGCCAAACAAACTTATTTTCCGATATCCAGTGAAGACAAAGATTCCTAGCCTTCCCGAGAGAGAAGAGGAAGACATTCGAGTTAAAGACTGGATGAAAAAGAAGAAAGAGAAGGAATATGCAGACAAGAGTAAGAACGCAAAACACAGTCAAGTACAAGTCGGAGACAAGTGTTGGTTCAACGGCCAAAAGAAAACAAATTTTCACCTGCATTTGAAACAAAACCATATGAGGTCATTGAACGCACAGGAAATGAAGTATTGCTGAGAGCACCACATGGAGGTACATATCGCAGAAACGTAAAACAAGTGAAAAATCTAGAGTAAGATTGTAGTGCTCAACTTGATGATACAGATGATGTAACCTATGTAGATCTTTCCACCAAGTGAGGTACCAGAGGATGATGTGGACGACCCTAATGTTGCGAAAGACCGTGGAGACTCTCTGCATACAAGACCAGTTCGGGAACGCAGGCTACCAACTCGGTTCAAAGACTTTGTTTTGACATAATATTTAAATTTTATGGACTGTGCTTAAGAAAAATTGTATAATTTCGAACGTAACGCATTTCACTGATTTTTATTGTGACCATGAACTTTAAAGAAAAAACTTCATTTTCAGTATTGAAATTTTATTCAAAATAAATTTGGTGTATGTAAAAATTTAAGAAAAGGAGGAATGTAATGATTATAAGTAAGAACCACAACTCTGTATTGTATGTTGTTTTGGATTATCACCCTTGATTAAAAGAGTCAGTGATGCGTTGTCCATGTATAGTAATAAGTCATAAAATCCTTAGTTTATCTTTAGTAATCCAGTGAGCAAGGTTACTACACAGAGCCCAGACATTAATGTAATGGAAAATGTTTGGAGAGTTTTAAAAATTCGAATTAAGAGAGATTTACATGACATTAAAAACAATTTGAAAGCAAACCTGGAACGCATCGTTCATGAAATCTGGTCCATCCTCTCTACCTCTTCACTATACAAGAAGTTTATGTCAAAGTCTACCCAAACGAATTAAAGCTGTTTTGAAAACCAAAGGACGCATCACAAAGTACTAGTCATAAAAGTTTATGCAGTTACGAGTTACGTACAGAAGAACGTCGGCCATTGTTTGAACATACTTAGGGCCAGCTACTGTAGGTTAAACATCAAGGTCGTGATAACTTTAAAACGAATGAATGCATGTACATGAACAAGTGAGAATGCGATCATACGTTAGACAATCTCCAACTTGACTGTTAAAAATATATCCCCATTACGCCTGAGAGCTTTGGAGAGAGTTCGTATTAGTATAATTAATATTACGAACCACCGTTATATTAATTAGTTTATGAGCCTTTTTTTTCTTTTCACAAATCTTAAAAACAACTTTGATACAAAATTTGACTATGGAATCCCCATTACGCCTGAGAGCTTTGGAGAGAGTTCGTATGATATATGAGCCTTTTTTTCTTTTCACAAATCTTAAAAACAACTTTGATACAAAATTTGACTATGGAATCTTCCGTCTACCTGATCAATGCATGCGAGTGTGCCCAGTCGACTGGGGATGCTTAATCCTCCTAGGTACCGGATCTCAACTCTGGAATTTCCAGGGATCCGTGTTTTATGCCCTGTTCAAAGATTTGTATTGTTTGTAGGGTTTTCGTTTGATATCGGTCACCGTTATATTAATTCACTTTTTTCATTGCAGAAGTTTATAGATACAAGCATCCTCATTTGTAGGTTCATTTTAATTCAAGAAAGGCTCATGGTGCAGACATATAAGTATCAAGGGTTCCAAACGATTACATGGCTAATGTTAAACTTTAGAATATTTTTGTATGAAATAAAGCAACTGAACTGGGTTCATTCTTTATATCAATTTGCAGCCACTGATATCATTTACCTTTATTATTTTTGCCGAGTTATTTTCCCAATGCTGAGGGACAGAAACTGAAAATGATCTTGAATTATCCGAATATTATAACTGTAATTTTACAAATACACAAACTAGAAAATATCCAATTGGAATTGATCAATTTTGGGAAAGAAGAATGTATTTCTTTTAGTATTAATCATTTTACTCAATAATTACATGATACAAAACATGAGTTTGGTCCAGACTGATATCTCCTGTGTAAGGTCAAAACCATGAACCAGGTAGACGCAAATCTTGATGTTTCAAATGCCCGAGTAGTAGAGGTGCAAGTTAAGTTTTTATTGATTTTTCCCTCCTACCTTGAATCAGATATAATAAATTTACTGAAAATTTAAAGTTCTTGTTAAATATAGGTGAATATTTACATTTCCAACTGTTTTCTCTGTGATAACTTTGGAAAGGTAAGTGTTTGATTTCTCGATATTTACCTCTGAATGTAAATTATATTTTTCCGATATAGACTTGAGTCACTAAAAATAGAATGATTCGTTTTACTATAAAGATTAGTCATGATCAAAATTTTTAGTCAATGAAAATCGGGTGTGTTCCCGTTTTGCACACATTTGATAATTAGGTATAGAACAATAGGTGTGAAATATGTTTTGATAGCAATTATAGTCTGATCTCCACATGGGATTTACCTGGAATTATCTGTATTTTACCTGTGTATTAAAATATATATTTAAAAGAATAAATATTGAAAATTTAACATGTCCAACCCAACTGAAGATGAAGTTGATAATTTAGACAAATATCACCCTGTTAAATCAAAATAATTCAAAATATTAAATGCAAAATTAATCACTTTTTTCCCTATTCTTTCCATAGATTTGCTTTCTTCAAATTCACAACTATGATACAGACTATAGCAATTAAGTTATTATCTTACCTGGACAAATTCCTGTTTTGCACACATTTTTTCAATACCTGAAATTCAAATGTGTGCAAAACGGCAACAAACCGAAAATCGTTCTTTCATACACATTCTAAAACTAAGCAGATGAACGACAGAACAGAGTGCTAAATACGAGAAGCGGAGATTCGCTTGGATTGACGATGAAAGGTTATAAAATTTGGTGGAGAACATTGAAACAAAAAATACTGTTACTTCAAAGCAACAGAGATGACGAGATGTATAAAATACACTTATGTCATATCGACAGGGCATACAGAGACATGAACTGATATTGACATTCTTAAAGCGACAGTACGGCTGCAAAAATTGTGTTTTTCGGTCAAATTTACCCAATATATCAATAAGAAATGAGGTATAAAGTTGATGTCAACAGGTTGAAAAACATGAATATTCTCTCCTCAAACAAAATTAACGTAATTAAAATCGGACGGAAATCAACCGGAGCAATCTAAGATTTGTTTATTTGTACACGTGAATTCTGAATGACACGTGCCTAAACTGTATAGTTTACAACTGTTATGGAATATGAGGTAAAAGCAATTATCAAAAGCAAAATATTATATCTTTTCCGATAAATTATTAACCGTGAACTTTTTAATCTGCTTTCGGACGAATTTTAAAGAATTAAAAGTACAAATAGACGTTTTGTGTATATGGGTCCGAGAAGGGAAAAACCACCAAATCATGCGTTATCGCGGCAAAACGTCAAAAATATTTTCAGGACAGTTACATTAAAATTTGCACTATAAATGCCAATAATATTTATATATCATAGGTGTTGAGTTAACACAGTTTTTATGCCCCCGTAATCGAAGATTCGGGGGCATATAGTTTTTGCCCTGTCCGTCCGTCTGTCTGCCTGTTTGTCCGCGAAAACTTTAACCTTGTTCATTACTTTTGATTGGTTGAAGCTATGGCTTTCATATTTCACATGTGTATTCCTTGTGACAAGACCTTTCTTTTGTACCATCATATTTGACCTTGGCCTTGGAGTTTGACCCACTTTTGCAAAAATTTTATGAGACTTTAATCTTGGCCATTTCTTTTAAACAGTTGGTGCTTTGGCTTTCAAACTTCACATGTGTAATCCTTGTGACAAGATCTTTCTTTGGATACCAACACCTTTGACCCATTGACCTTGACCTTGAGTCTGACCTACTTTTGAAAAAAACTTTAACCTTGGCCATAACTTTTGACCAGTTAGTGCTATGGCTTTCATACCTCACATGTGTATTCCTTATGACAAGACCTTCCTTTAGATACCAACAACTTTGACCTTGACCTTGGAGTTTTACCTACTTTAATTTTGAAAAATTTTAACCTTGCCCACAATTTTTGATTGGTTGGAGCTATTACTTTAATTTTGAAAAAAAGTAACCTTGCCCATAACTTTTGATTGGTTGGAGCTATGGCTTTCATATTTCACATGCGTATTCCTTGTGACAAGACCTTTCGTATCTACCAACATCATATCTGACCTTGGAGTTTGACCCACTTTTGCAAAATTTTATGAGACTTTAACCTTGGCCATAACTTTTGAACAGTTTGTGCTTGGGCTTTCAAACTTTACATGTATATTTATTGTGATAAGACCTTTCTTTGGATACCAACAACTTTGACCCTTTAACCTTTGAGTTTGACCTACTTTTGAAAAAACTTTAATCTTGGCCATAACTATTGATTAGTTAGAGCTAGGGCTTTCATACTTAACATGTGTATGCATTTTGAAAGGCCTTCCCTTGGATACCAACAACTTTGACCTTTTGACCTTGACCTTAAAGTTTTACCTACTTTAATTTTGAAAAACTTTAACCTTTGCAATAACTTTTTAACACTTAGTGCTAGGGTTTGTATACTACACATGTGCATTCTGTGTGACAAGATCTTCCTTTGGATACCAACAACTTTGACCTTGACCTTGGAGTTAGACCTACTTTGGAAAAACTTTAACCTTGGCCATAACATTTAAACGTTTGGTTCTAGGGCTTTCACATTTGATGAACATGTGTATCACTTGTGACAAGACCTTCCCTTCGGCTCCATTTGACCTTGACGTTTTACTTACTTTTTAAAAAAAACTTTAACCTTCGCCATAACTTTTCAACAGTTGGTGCTAGAGCTTTCATATTTCACAAGTATATTCCTTGAGACAAGACCTTTCTTCGGGTACCAACATTTTTGATCTCTTGACCTGGAGTTTGACTTGCATTTGAGAAACTTTAACCTTCGCCATAAGCTATCATACGGGGGCATCAGTGTTTCACAAACACATCTTGTTTTTTTTGTGAAAGCGATGGAGATATGAGAAATGATAGCAAGTATCAACAAACCTATCGAGGAGAACCCTCGCGAGCCTGTGTGAGTCCCGCCAACGATTATATTACTAGTAATCCCCAGAGTAAAATTTGGTCAGGAAATTCGCTTTTTCAAGCTCTATTTTCGGTTTTTATCTTCTTTGTGTACTATGTCAAGGTAGCAGGCCTACCGGGCTACACCCTTTTACCATGTTGTTTTGTTTATGATAAGTACGCATGCGTGAATGACATGGAATGTGGAACCCCTAACACGTGATGTGTGTGTATATATATATATATATATATATATATATATATATATATATATATTTATATATATATATATATATATATATATATATATATATATATA